TTACTTTGTCAGAAAATTATTGTAAAGATACAAGATATTTCAATCATCATTAAAAACGAGTTTAAAGATAATTTGTTTGTTTGGGTATAACGATTCTGATTGTCCTTGGGCGTTAAACAACCATTATCGGTACTTGTTGGATAAAAGCATATCAATTTGATTCTGAGATTTCGTGACAAAAATCTATAATCCATATAGTTACAACTAAGCCTATATATCAAGTTTTCCCCAGAGACAAACAAGTGTTTGAATTGCTAATCGCTTTGTAATAATGCGGTCGTTAAAATTCAAACGTGTTTTAAGTCGCGCAATTAAACTTACAACTCATCGCTGGAGCTCTGGTTCGAGTCGTAATTGATCGGAAATCCAACTTTCTTCTTCCAGTCACCGTCTGGCATATCCATTATCACTACACTACAAAATATTCTGGTTGCAATATTAATTTTCCCGTCACAACATCATGTTTTAAGTTTATCACTAAATTAACACTAATCACCAGCACAAATCCGTATAGAGATGCAATATAATGCAATTGACATTTTAGCACTGGATCGTAAAATAAAATTTATTGGATAAAACGTATGTAGATAGAATTTGCAATTTACTCAAAAACCACGTCTTTCAGCTGATAGCGTTACGACGAAAGTTCAAAAACATTTAAATGTCAAACACTCTTTTTTTTTTAGGGATGATATGACCTGGTAACTAAGACTTTTAGGTCATGTCTTATTTTAATTTATATTCTTATTTTTATGAAAAATTATAAAATGGAGTGAAATGAAATGAACATTATTAATTTGAGACATTAATTAACTGGGATGAAATGAAATGGAGTGAGATGAGATGATATGGGGTGAAATATAATCTCAGTAAAATGGTGGTAATTTACGGCCATTTTTTCAGTGGACTTTTTGAAAGATCCCGAGAAGCTACGTCCAGCGGCTTTGTTTCATTTTCCCACATTTGTGCACTTTCACGGATATTAAATAGTTAATAAGCCACCGTTATTACACATTTAAACCTGACGAAACATTAAATAGACAAAATAAAACAAATCACACAACTTCACTCCTCGAGTTCCCGCCAAAAAGTCCCCCGAGTGTAGTTTAGTTACTTGTATTGATTTAAAAAATCAACATTTACTATTCTATTAAAGTTCGAAGCATCTTTTTTTTAAATGATAAATAAGTGAACGAGCTTACGACCCACCTAGTGTTATGGGGCTACCAGTGATAACATGTATATTTTTTTATCTACCTTGAGGCATGAGGTCGAAGCCTAAATTTAATCGTTGGCTGTCCCACTCTTTTAATCGGGACGCAAGACTGCTTTGCGACAGAAATAGGCAGGTCAACTATGCGTGTGACTTACGCTCTACTGCCAGTAAATAATCAGTAAATTGAGAACGTTCCTGGTAGAGGTCGTTTATCAACGTGTGTCAAATACGCAAGTCGTGACTATGTATTACTGGCATATGCGCGATCGTCGCGTTAGCGATCGTTCAGTTCGTTTATCAAGTTATTTTACCTTGCCAATTTGGAACACTTAGATTAATATTGTTGAAAACTACTGCTGGCCAGCAGTACAGTGAGTTGCGTCAGTTTCCATATCGCCTTTAATTTGTTGTCGTTGACTTTGGTTTTCAGTCGACCACGGCAGAAACGTTCAAACTAATAATGAGCCGTGCGTTCGTTTAATGTTTATTAAGTACACGTATTTAATGTCATTGTTGTGAGCCGTTTGCGCGGCATTCCTACCGCGACGGAACTTTTCTATAATTATTCGTATTGTTACGTCGGTAAGAGTAATTTCATCTATCGCCGAGTAGTCGAACGAATATCGAAAGATCTAGTAGCACTTAGAACGCTCGAGAAGTACAACGCCATCTATTGTCAGATAGCGGAAACACAATACTCGAAATGTGTGGAATATTCTCGATAATTCTAGGAATGTGGTATCGGCTATAAAAGCGTTGAAGAAATGGCACGCAGTCACATTTCGACAAAGCGGCACGACACGAGAACCCTCTCATCGTGGCCGCCGGTAACTACATTCCCGATCCTGCTGACAAAATGGAAAACAGTCGACGTCGCCCAAAACATGTTATTTCGGATCCTTCCGATCCACTAACGGTGCTTTTAGATACCTCAAGCACCGGTCATCGTTCTCGTCGAACCCGTCGTTTGCGACGAAGGGCTCGACGAGTAAATTAACCCCCAGACATAGCCTGCTGAGTTTCTCGCCGGATCTTCTTAGTGGGTCGCGTTTCCGATCTGGTGGTAGATTCTACGCAGCACGGCTCTTGCTAGGGTTCGTGTTAGCAACGTCGTCAGGTTTGAGCCCCGTGAGCTCACCTACTAGTTAAGGTTACGCTGAAATAGCCTCTCAAGGCTATCAGCACAGGCAGGAAAAAAAAAAAAACGCGCTGTCAGTCAGTACTTAATCGGAACTACTCGAAGCGAAGTAGCGAACGGATCACAGCATAAACAGCATTCAATATTGCAAATAAAATTCCTATAAATTTAAAATTTATATCCAGACTTACGTAAATTAGTTTTCAAATGGGCAGTATTGTAAAACCACAAATTCATAGGGTGAGAATTACCTGACGTAATTAGTTTCAAATATTAAGTGTATTATTTATGCTTATTATGTGGAATCTATCTATGGCATTCTTTGAAAATAGAGTTTAGAGAGAATTTGAAGATAGAGTAGAGGTAGGGAGCATCATCTTGTTCACCTGTAAACAGCAAGTTAAACATTAACTTGCTGTTCAGGAAGACTCACGGAATATCAAGTTGAAATTATATGGTAGTTTAATTATATAGCAGTAGTAGTAGTAGTAGTTGTTGTAGTAGTTTTAAGCAGAGTGAAGTAATGTGTGTTAGTTTAAGGCGCTGTTTTTAAGATCTTTCCACTTGCTATTATGGCGTTACCCAGGGACGTCTTAAACTAGGCTGGGGCCCTTGGGCACACAAGAATTTGAGACCCTTTTGGAAAGTAATAAAAGCGAATTATAATAACATTTTTTTACTGAGTATGACCATTTATTATAGGTAATCAAATACAGTATGATTTAATATTTCATTAATGATATTAGAAAGCTGCTGGTTTTTTGGTTACGATTTCGATAACGGTTTCTTTCGGGATGTCGTTGAGCAAAATCTTCTATTATAGGCATAGTAGGTATATGTAGATACCTTCTGATTACTGATTTGTGAAAAAAGTGTAATGTGCCCGACAAAAATGTTTTGAGAATAAGCGTGTGAGAAAAATTGTCGGTCTTTCGGGGCCCCCTGAGAATAGGGGCCCTGAGCACGGGCCCCGTGTGCCCTTATGGTAAAGACGGTATTGGCGTTACCTTAATTTGCTCCCTTTCAGCGAACACTTTATTATACAATGAGATGTTGTTCCTTACTTCTACTATATCCATTATGACGGACCCGTCAAAAAGTTCCTAGCCATAATCATGACGTTTTTATCGAGCGTTATTATTGAGCTCACGGGGCTCAAACCTGATGACGTTGCTAACACGAACCCTAGCAAGAGCCGTGCTTCGCAGAATCTACCACCGGATCGGAAACGCGACCCACTGAGAAGATCCGGCGAGAAACTCAGTGGGCTGTGTCTGAGGGTTAATTTACTCGTCGAGCCCTTCGTCGCAAGCGACGAGTTCGACGAGAACGGTGACCGGTGCTTGAAGTACCTAAAAGCACCGTTAGTGGATCGGGAGGATCCGAGATGACTTGTTTTGGGCGACGTCGACTGCTTTCCATTCTGTCCGCAGGATCGGGAATGTCAATTTCATCATATTATATCATCATCACAAAATAAATGGGAAAAGACAGGAAATAATCACAAAAAAAATTAAATTAAAACTTTTTGTATTCGACGTTTACGTCAGCTTCTAGGAACTTTACAACAACGAAATAGGTAAACAAAAGAAATTGAAGGAAATTGAAATTAGTTTTCACTAGGTTTCTACTCTTATGAAATTATAAAAATTACACACTCATATTAACAAAGGAAAGTCGGTGTGTTCATTTTTCATCTTGCTGAATGCAAAATTAAACTATTTGTTGTTCATCCAAATTAAGTTGTGGATCATTATTTTGAAGTTGGAACACACGGTCAAGATTTAAAAAAGGATGGGAAAATGCGTGACATAAATATTATGTCTAAGTTTAAATTATTAAACAAAATGGAGAACCCGCAAATTTTTTTTCATATAAATTTTATTTAGATATTTTGTTAACAAATTTTACCGCTTTTCATTAACAGTGTTCAACCGCTGAAATATAACGGCCAGACGTAGTGAGGGTCATCGTATTTATAACCGGGCATCCACGGCCAATATTTCATTTGATTTGATTTCATAATATGTATTTTGCTTGAATCCCAGTTTTCACAATTATCAATGCAAACATTGAATGTTACCACGACCAATATTAAACTCAACAATAATAGAACTTTGAAGAAACTATTAGGCATGGTTAGTTTTGTAAATTTTTTTTGAGAACTTTAATTAAGAAACTAATGTTTGTACTCAATGACTTGATTTAGTAGCGTGAATGTCAGTATAAATGTCAAGTTAGAGATTTTATAGGGTTTGTTATCTTTTTTCTTTATTTCGTGAAGTCATTTTCTTTCTTTCTTAATGAACATGATATAACGCGGTTTGTTCATTGTTTATAGTCAGACATTGTTTGGAGTTTTCACGTAGGAAGCTATGACATGGATAAGTATCGTAATTAAGTTTCATATTTTTTTTTATTGCTTAGGTCGGTGGACGAGCTCATGGCTCACCTGGTGTTACGTGGTTACCGGAGCCCATAGATATACAACGTAAATTCCGCCACCTACCTTGAGATATAAGTTCTAAGGTCTCAGTATATTTACAACGGTTGCCCCATTCTTCAAACCGAAACGCATTACTGCTTCACTAGGTATAGAAATAAGCAGGGTGGTGGTACCTACCCGTGCGGACACCGAGAGAAAATGATGAAAGCATTTGTCTGTTGCCAAAGGACAAAAAGTCTAAGAATTATGAAATAAATAAGGTCTGACAATTTAAAATATTGAAACATATCGAATAAAAAAAATGAGAATTAAACACTGGTAGGTACTTTATATACAACGGCTGTGTGATTTCACGTTAAAATAATTCTTCTAGATGAACTTCATTCTGTAAATTCTCTTGACTAATGAGTTCAAATCGCCCACGTTATTCATTTTCCAGTTCCGACGGATTCCTGCCAATATCAAGCCAATCTCTAGCTCTTTCTCTCTTTACCTTTTTCTGGTAGACCACATTTCCGTCCTTCGTAATGTACGAGATCACGGGTGTTAAGACCTGCCTTCTACGATGCACTCTGCTGGATCTTCTAAAGTCCTCATCAGAACAAGATTCACTGTTAGAATCTTCTATTACTCTTTTTGGGGAACGTCTTCTATGATATCTTGTCTTTTTATGGTGTTTGGGTACATACGGCATGACCACGGCCGGGAGCCTTTGTTGAAATGGGAAATGCATGGGCATCTGTTGCGGTAAAGATGGTCCGAGGGACTGGAAAGGATTTCCGTTTGGCTGGGACATCTGGAACTGGACGGGAATTGGGGGGAATTGAGCATTGATGGACGTAATTGTTGTTAATAGAACCAGGATGATCATCTGTAATCAATAAAAATGTTAAATCTAACCGAAAAACGTTGTATCATGAGATCATCGACATAATCGTTGCCTCATGCAAGGTACATTATAAAAATGGGCTCATAAGTATTATTTTAAGTCTGGTAATGTTAACGCCTACTAAATTTTAATGAGCAATGTTGAATTTTTTCATTATGTGTACCTACACCTTCGATCAATAATACTACTAGATTAGGGATCAGGAACATAAATAAGACGCTCGAGTGGCCACGTTTTCAGACCCGAAAACATCTTCATTTCTTAGAAAAAAGGTTAATAATGTTAACGACTTCAGTTTATTATAAACCTTAATGCTTAAACATAAAGTTTAATTACCATTGCAAAATATATTTATTTAGGTCCTTTCGTCAGAGAAAGAATATTGTGGCATAAATTTAAAATGTCACTTGAACATAAAAAGTCATCAGTACAAAAATATTTATTCTAAAGTGATACATAAAGACTAATCAATAAGGTTAAAAATATTTGTTTAAAATTTCGTGCTTATTGTATTGTGGAACTAGATGTAGTTCTTGGTATTACATTTCAATGCTCAGAACACAGTAAGTATTGAAAGACGTAGAGTTGCAGAATATATTTGTTTTAGGTTTGTTTTGTATGGTCGCAACTATTTTTGACCGATTCAAAAAAGTTGTAGATAATATTTTACATTGCCGCTATTACAACAAATAGGTAATAAATAATAAAATTGAATAAAGTAAAAAAAAAAAGAAAGGAAACAAGGGAACAACAACGTTTTCCACGTATTCTTTATACAGAAGTAATTAAAACAATTTTTTTTTTGTTTAATTACCTTTAAACAGATTCAGCTTGTTATAAAGCTGTTTTTTAGAAGTCATTTTTATATGAGCGGTTTCTTTTTTACAAATATAATGTAATCTTATATTAAAGAATTTTTCTATAATCAGTTTAATTTAGGCTTATTTTATGGCTGTGTTCGTTTCCCCCAGAAAACAAATCCTTTTCAGCATATACGCTTAAAATATTTACACATACATATAAAGTTTTTATAATACTTTTTTGCATTGATTTGCCACCACCATTGAACAATTCTAGAATTTTTATAAGGGTTCTATATTTCTTATCCTCCTTTCGCGACAATATATATCCATTGTGCACAGTGAAAAGGGGCTACTAGGAAATCTACAAACAAAAATAACATTATAAAATAACAAAACTACTCTATGCATTCCCTGTTCAAGAATAGGTGATGTTTGTTACAATAGTTGGTGCCTTGTTGCAAACATTGGCCAAACAATTACAATATTCGTAAATTGAATTTTATTTACTATATAATTCTGTTTATTATTTTATGAAATTCACTTAATAATATAAACTTACCAAAAAAATATATTCCTTCCAAAACCTTGGTGTTACGGTGGTTTTTTACTCCGTTTTTGAACGCGCAGTGCAGCGGTTTGACGTCTTAGTGTTGGCTATGATTGGACCATACTAATTTGAAATAAGACCACAAATTTATTTGTGGTCTTATTTTTCGGGCCGTTTTTGAAGCGCTTATCGCGAATCTAGTAGTATTATTGATCGAAGACCTACACCATTACACCTTAATTAATGGCCGTGCCAAGCTAACTTGTTTCGCAACTTAAAAATTAAGAAAAACCTGTACCTATAGAGAAAATTCAAGCTCAAGATCGATTTGGAAGTTTTATTCAAAAAACCCAAGCATTCCGACATTCAATCAAAAATGATATTTTATATAGATTATTGATATGCATGATTAAGTGCAGTGGAGGTTAAACATTAATTCAGCAAACCGACAGATTCTCTTCACAAAATATTACGAAAATTTCATGATGATTTTAGCATGTTTATTCTATTGACCGATAAACAACAATGTTTATTACGCTTTAAGCATGTTATAATTCAATTATTATTTCTTATTCTTACCGCCGTGAACGAAATTGCTCGATTGGAAAATTAACACGAAAAGATATTTGAAGTCAATCTGATTAAACTCGGTCGTGTAGGCGAGGAAGGCAATGTTTAACTGTTCAGTGCACACGTTCTTTTAGCTTTATATACTATTAGGACCAGTGTACTTAGTGCGAGTTTTTTAACGTTCTCGATAGCGTAAAAGTTAGCTCATATTTGTATGGAATGGGATCGTTTGCGTACGTTTGCCGCTAGGGGCGCTGTTCCAACTGCATACAAAGTTGGATTAACTTTTAGGCTATCGAGAACGTTAAAAAACTCGTACTAAGCACACAGTTTGGGGAGGCTTAAACGACAAAAGGTAGATCTTCCACCAAGCGGTTGATATCGCTCGGTAGACCGACGGTCCGAATGTTGTTGTTCGGAATTTGTATATATGCAAGCTTATCTTGAAAATGTAGTAAGCGAGATTCAGGCATCTGTCAAAATATCTTGCGTTGTACCTAGTCAGGTCATAAATTCTGTCACATGTTTAATGTAAAATAATTGAAACAAGTTTATTCATTATGTAACCATTCATATACCAAAATGAACTTAACAAAACATAGATTCTTATGACACTAAAATTTATTCAAAATGACCTCCGTGATTTTGAATACAGGCCTTCAATCTGCGCGGCCAGTCGTCTATCGCAGCACGAACGAGGNAACGCTGTGCACACAGTGAGTCCTGCATCGTCAGAGATTGAAGACGGTCATGACATCGAGGTGAACGTGGACGTCCACCAGTCAGGAGAGGCCGTATTAGAGGCGACTCCCTCTTAAGTCAAAGTCGATGGGCGGAGCCATTGACGACGAGCACTCACGTGGACTCGTGACGTCATCTGGAGGGGCAACTCGTCATCTGGAAGGGCAACCGACCGACCAGCGGGGACATCACGCCACCTCGGATCACTTTTGCTGGAAGCGCGCGCAGCGTTCACTTGTCTTAGATTTAATATTCTGTGTCGATCGTTCCTACCCACTTTTGTATTTTTTTTATTTATTTAAATTATTAAGCCGTTGCCAAAAATACATTAAAAGTGAAGTGAGAGAACACACGACATATTTTGGTTCATTAGAATCTCGTTATTTAGTTGTCCTTAAACTAACGAGACTTAAATCACTCAGATGTACGATCCTAATTATACTATCTCATTTGAGACCAGATAAATGTTTCCGATTCTTAATTTTGCCTGTTCGGCTTAGTAAATACTTCGTTGACATTGTGTAATAAGCTATCAAATGTATTATTAACTTCGTTTAGTAAGATACATGTAACAAAGGTATTTGTTAAAATGACAAGAGCAATTAAGAATTATTCACGTATCTAGAATATACCTGAGGATGAATATTGAATGTACAAACCACATAGATTTGTATCGCCTTACGTTAGCACAGATATTAAACACCAGCGACCTTTAGATTGTGTCATAATATAAAATTATTTGTATTGGATTTCATCTGTTTCACGATCTCATTGAAACTATGAACATTCGATTTTCTAAGTAATACTGCTTATAACAAACGTTTTAAGTCTAACTTCAATTTAACGGCCGTCTGGTGTAGTGGTAAGTGACATGGTCACTACACAGGGGGGTCGCGGGTTCGAATCCGGCCAAGGGAAGATATTTGTATGATAAATATAGAAATGTCTTTTCCACAGTTATGGATGTTTCAAAATTCAAATTCAATATATGTATTATTAAATATATGTATGTGTATAATAAAAATCTTACATTTATTTCCGTTATCTGGTACCTGTAATACAAGTTCTTTACGAACTTAGTACGGGACCAGTTAATGTGGCGTGATTGTTAGTAAATATTTATATTTAAAAAAAAAAAAATATCATATTCGAGGTTTGTAGTCTATACTATAAATTACGAATAGGCTTTCATAGGAAAACGAATGTTAGCTTTGTAACCCATACATGGAAATTCCTCTGCTCGCCTCACAGAAGTACTGCATCTGCTTTAAATTTCAGTTTATTAAATTAAGAATTAAAACCAGTATATTAATTAAGCTTTTCAACATTTTCTTTAAATAAATGCCAATTTTAAATATCAATGGACTTAGCTTAGACACTATAGAATTTATATTAAGTCTGTACCAACATTATTAACTAGTAAGCAAATCATATAAATAGCGTAACAAAGAACATAATCCTTCAAATACAAAAGTAAATTCATTTTACAGTCACATTAATAAAATATTTTAATATGAAAAAACATTTTAACGAATTTCACTTCCGGAAAATATTTCGTATTATTTTCATTAACGAACAATGAACAGAATCTTATCGGCTTATAAACTTTCCTTTTATGTAAACTTTTATGGACAGCCTCAAAGTCGCAGGTACACGTTGAACCGCGAACAAACCGAGCCAAAACCGTGGGACTGCAGTAATGCGGTGTGAACACGTACAAAATGTTTGCTTTCCTTTTGTAGAGCTGCTCTTAGGAGCGGTGTAAGTCATAAGATAATAGCGAATTTTTGACGTGAGATACTAAATATTTATTTATATATGCCTAACCTCGAGGGCCATTAAGCAATAAAAAAAAATCGAATCTTCAACATCAAATCTATTTTTTTTAAAACTTAGATTATACTTTAAAATACTTAAATAAATCAATAAAAGAAAGCCTGAGAATATACTGTACATCGAGTTATATATTGAGCAATTAGTCATTCCTTCATGTTATTTTAACAGTTGCCTTAAATCGCTAAGTGATCGCTTTTACCAATACTAATTTTACCGTGACGAAAGTTGTAGGAGCACTGACAAAATAAAATCTAAATACTTAAATAATACTTCAGTAGCTGCGATAAATTATTAATTTGTTATTAGATCTATTTGGATTTGTTTTCATTTTAAGGGATGATAGGTGAGTTCCTCGCTATATTTTGTAAATTTATGCACATAAACTTTTAAAAGTTCAACGTATTTCGATTAATATCCCCCAAAGAAAAACGGGGCATCAATTTAAGCCATTGGTAAGTAATCATTTGTGTACATTCGATGCATAAAATTGTGTATACCACAAATCGCTTTTTCTTTTGATTTGTTCCTTTCAAGAAATCGTAGGAACGAACGGGGAACTTAGAGACTTTTACATTTATTGTTATTTGAAGTAGCGGTGTTTGCCAGTTCTAGACTACTGCAAGATGGAGAATATGGATTTCAAATGCATTCTGTTCTATTCGTTATTTACGAGGGATTTTAAAGCTATTTTTCAATTCAATTCTCAAAGTTAGAAAACGTATTTTCATGTGACATTCCTTTGAAGTTTGCTCCTTTATATGTTTTGCATAATTTGGCATCGTTCGTATTTCTGACTTCGAAATCGTTGTATAAACAGTTTACGCTATTTTTGTATTATTCTTTATGATATGTCTGATAAACTTTAACATTAAAAGTTTTTAATAAAAAAAAAAAAGTATTTAAATGTATGTAAATATATTTTTAATGAAAATTCACTTAATCGTGTCTATCTTTATAAAGTCGTGATATTATTTTATTGAAATTTACTAGATGCAATCTGTGAAATGAATAAGCTTTCAAAATAAATTTTAAAAGAGTACTGACTAAAATTCCCTGAATATTCCTAACATTCGACGAAAGCGACGAAGCGAAAAATACAATTAAAAAAGTATGAAAACTCTTAAATTAGTACGTAACAAGTTGGTCGTAGGCGATAAACCGCGTCGACAGATCCGGAGATTCGTTCGCGTAATCAAACGTAATCCAGTTAAAACTTTTCCAATAAGCCGCCCCCTAGTGATGCATTCCTCCGTACAGATATCTCGTAAAATGTCCGACGAAAAACATCAAACTTGTTGGTTAAAAATGGAATACATGTACCTAATATTTAGCGTAATTAATACTCACAGGCGGACTTTACATAATGCTATTGCTTTTTAAATATAATTTTTAAAAACCTTGATAATTAATGTTTAAAATTGAAGCCGTAATTGTTATAATTACCGCGTAATTACCGATGGTGTAATAAACGGTAAGATTTTAGTTATTTAGGCTGAAAACTTTATTTCTCGTCTATTCTATAGGATTTATTTTAATTAAACATTATAAGTTGATTTGTTTAAACATTATTATTTTCTTAATATAAATATTTTCGTCATAGAAAGCACTCCAAAAGGGTGGAAGAAACATAATTTTCTCGACATCTTGGTAAACTCAACGCACCATTTAACTAATGAGATAAATTCCGTTGCGGCGATTTTTACCCTCGAGAAATTGAACAAGTAATCTCTCAATCTTTTAATGACGTGAGAGATGAACTCCGTCAAGATCGGCGTCGGATTCTGGGGTCTCCGGGATTACGAAATGTCATTTCGTTTGGAGACTTAATTATATAATTTTGGTATCTGGATACGTGACGAATCAAATTTAATATGACATTGGAATGAGTTGTTCTGATATAATACTAGTTTAATTATTCTTTGACGGAAACTGATGGGTTTTTGTTTTACAATAAGTAATAAACGTGAGTTAAGGAGAACGGTGGCATTTTCTCACCCATGCGAGCATACATTGTGCTATCTAAGGTATCCTATCTTTATTCTCTAATAAATAATAACCGTCATCACGTAGACTATACATTAGACACTGTATAGCCATGATACTAAGACTATACATAAATAATAAAAATCTTACGTTACGGACGTTTTTTCCCGGTTAGGGTACCCCTCCGCATCGTCCCACAAGGAACTTCGTTCCAAAAATACCTACAGTAAATACATCAATACGTTTAACAAAAAACTTAATACCTCTAATACATTAGAAGCTTATACAAAGTACAAAATTAGTCTCTGAAACGATGCTCAATGCGTGCCATCAGTCACTTCTTTACCCCCCAAACAAAATATACAAGCAATGGAATGGAAACGATGAAAAGCGTAATTCATTTCGTACTCTTAATAAGACGAAGAGATGAAATGGAAATTAAATTTTTTGCTATATCTAAAAAGATGTTCCAGGAAAATAATATTTTATTTTATTACCTAAAGTCGAAATAACTAAGTTGAAATGTGTATTTATGTTCCGT